CTGCAACCTCCGCCTTCTGGGTTCAAGCAATTCTTCTGCCTCTGCCTCCTGAGTAGCTGGGACTACAGGCGCATGCCACAATGCCCAGCGTTTTTTAGTAGAGATGGGGTTTCACCATGTTGGCCAGGATGGTCTCGATCTCTTGACCTCGTGGTCCACCCACCTCAGCCTCCCAAAGTGCTGTGATTACAGGCATGAGCCACGATGCCCGGCGGTCACTTCAGATATAACACCTAGCATAGTAGTCATGAGAATGGACTCTGAAACAAACAAAAAAATAAAAAACAAAAAATAAATAAAGAGAATGGACTCTGGAGTCAGCCAGTTTGACTCCCCATTTCCTGGCTTTTTGACATGCTTAGTGATTTGACTTCTGGAAGCCTTTGTTTTCTCATCTGTATAATCCCACATTTTAAGAGTTTTAAGAATTTGTTTTGTTTTGTTTTGTTTTGTTTTTGAGGTGGAGTTTGCTCTGTTCCCCAGGCTGGGGTATGGTGGTGTGATCTCAACTCAAAGCAACCTCTGCCTCCCAGGTTCAAGCGATTCTTCTGCCTCTGCTTTCCTAGTAGCTGGGACTACAGATGCCTGCCACCACGCCTGGCTAATTTTTGTATTTTTCATAGAGATGGGGCTTTGCAGTGTTGGCTAGGTTGGTCTGGAACTCCAGACTTCAGGTGATCTGCCCACCACAGCCTCCCACAGTGCTGGGATTACAAGCGTGAGCCACTGTACCTGGCCTGAGTTTTGAGAATTAAATGAGATTGCATGTCTAGTGTTTAGCACAGTACCTGGACATAGTACATACTCCATTAATGTTAGTTTTTATTACTGTTATTCCATTTTTTTGAGATCTAGTCAAACATACCCTCTTTTCCCACCCCCCCACCAAAATTCTTCCCCTGGCCAAAAAAAAGCAATTTAAAAAACCAAAAATCAAACACAACAAATTTAGTAGTCTAATGGCCTTGGGTAAGTAATAGATTGTTAAGAAATTGGTTCAAGATTTCCCAAACTCCCCACAATTAGAATAAACAAGATATTTGGATAAAAGCGTAAGATGTTAAATCTAGTGGTATTCTATAGAAATAGCTGTGAATTGTCTGCGTATTCATTGTTTTAACACAGGTATCTCTCTAATTGGTGTCTAATTTCTTTATGACAGGACACTTTTATTAGCTTTAATAGAACAGAAATGGAGGAGCCATAGAATATTAAAGATGAATTCAGGAAGGCCCGAGACCATGGAAAACTTGCCTGCTCTCTACACTATTTTCCAAGGAGAGGTATATTCTTTTGTGCTTTGAAAGCCTACCATTTATGTTAAGAATAGACTGAGGGTGACAACTGGGTTTGATGTTCCTGTCCACTTAAGTCTGTCTCGAGCATTACAGCTTAAATGGGAAGGGCCAGTGGAATATCTGGCAATCACATGTGCTTTCTCTAAGCTCCAGATATTTAAGTGCATAGTTGACATCATCATTGGAATATCAGCATTTCTAATTTATGTTTTAAACTGAATTTGTTTTTTCACTGCTGTGGTTTGAACATGTCCCCTAAAAAGCATGTTTTGGAAACTTAATCCCCACTGTATCAATGTTGGGAGGTAGGGCCTAGTAGGAGGTATTTAGGTCATGAGGGCTCCGACCTCCTGAATGGATTAATGCCAATTATTGAAGGGCTTGAGGCTGTGAGTTTGATCCCTTTCTCTCCTTCTTACCCTCTTACCTTCCACCATGGGATGACATAACAAGGAGATTCTTGCCAGATGCTGGCACCTTGCTCTTGGACTTCCCAGCCTCCAGAACTATAAGCCAAATAAATTTCATTTCTTTATAAATTATCCAGTCTCTGGTATTCTGTTATAATAACACAAAACATACTGAGACATTCAACTGATTTGATTCTCTTCTAGATTTTTTTCACCTCAGCAAATAGAACCATTATCCTGCAGGTTCCCAGACTACACATCTGACCATCATCCTTGATTTCTCTTTTGATTTGATTTAGATTTTCCCTCCCACTCCAGTCTGTTTGCTAGTTCTAATTATATCCCTGGTCTGTGTACTTCTTTATCCCCCTGGCACCCTATTAAAACTCTTCATTCCGGCCGGGCGTGGTGGCTCACGCCTGTAATCCCAGCACTTTGGGAGGCAGAGGCGGGTGGATCACGAGGTCAACAGATCGAGACCATCCTGGTCAACATGGTGAAACCCCGTCTCTACTAAAAATACAAAAAATTAGCTGGGCATGGTGGCGCGTGCCTGTAATCCCAGCTATTCAGGAGGCTGAGGCAGGAGAATTGCCTGAACCCAGGAGGCGGAGGTTGCGGTGAGCCGAGATCGCGCCGTTGCACTCCAGCCTGGGTAACGAGCGAAACTCCGTCTCAAAAAAAATAAATAAATAAAAATTAAAAAAAAAATGAAACTCTTCATTCTTGCCTGGTGTTTACTGGGATCCCTGCCTCATTGTAGCTCCTCTCCAGTCTGTTCTTCACATTGCAACTAGCATAAGACTATTGTTTTTTAAAAAATTATTTATAAAAAATTGAGATGGGATCTCACTATATTGCCCAGGCTGGTCTCAAACTTCTGGGCTTAAGTGATACTTCCACTTCAGCCTCCCAAAGTCTTGGAGTTAACAGGCATTAGTCACTGTGCCTGGCCTAAAATAAAATTTTTAAAGTAGGTTGGACATGTTGCTTTCTCACAACTCTTCAGAAGCTTCTCATTACAATTGAATACAAACTCATTTTCATGGACCTTCCACAAGTTGGCCTCTGCTTGCTCTCACAATGTTGTTTGCTCTGCCCTGTTCGTAGTCAAGACAACTGGCCTCCTTAAGAGCTCTGAACAGTCTTGAGTTCTTGGTGTCTCTTTAGGATTTTTGTACATGCTGGGTTTTTTTAGTCCGTCTGTGCTGCTATAACAAAATACCTGAGATTGGGTAATTTATAAAGAACAGAAATTTATTTCTTACAGCTCTGGAGGCTGGGAAATCTAAAATCAAGTTGTCAGCAGATCTGGTGTCTGGTGAAGACTACTCTCTGTTTCCAAGATGGCACCTTTCTGCTGCATCCTCTGGAGGGAAGAAATGCTGTGTCCTCATGACAGAAGGAATAGAAGGAGTGAACTCACCCTTTCGAGCCCTTTTATGAGGCACTCATCCATTCATGAGGGCAGAGCCTAAAAGCCTCATCTCTTGATGATATTGAATCGGGGATTAGGCTTCAAAGTGAATCTTAAAGAGATACCAAAGTTCATGTTGAACTTTAATCCCCAATGTGCAGATATTAAGAAGTGGTATTAAAAGATATTAATCACTTGGGAAGTGATTAAGTCATGAAGGTGCTCTGCCCTTGTAAATGTGATCAATGCCCTTATAAAAGAGGCTACAGAGAGCTGCCTGACCTCTCCGTTCCTTCTGCCATGTGAAGACACAGCATTTGTCACCTCCAAAGGACACAAGAACAAGGCACTATCTTGGAAGCAGAGAGTGAGCCCTTATAAGACACAGAATCTGCTGGCGCCTTGATCTTGAACTTCCCAGCCTCCAGAACTGTGAAACATAAATTTCTATGGTATTTTGTTATAGCAGCACAAACAGACTAAGTCACTCTTCCTTTTAACTACCCACTTTCCCATCATCTTGTCTTCATCCTTTAGGTCTCAGCCTTAATGTTGTCTCCTCAGAGATTTTTTTACCCATCCTATAGGTTTGTGCTGTGTTTAATTGTTTACTTGTTTAATGTCTATCTTCCTCACAAGACACTAAGCTCCATGAGGGCACAGTTCTGTCTGTTTTGTTGTATATCTCAGTCTTAGGTGGATGGGTAGAAAATAGTAAGTGCTCGATACATTTTTGATGACAGAATGAATTATCAGCGTTTGGCAGAGAAGACATTATATTTGTTTCAAGAGCAGAGGCTTTGGAACCAGACAAAGTCAGGATTCTAGTCTCGGCTCTTTTACTTACTATATGAGCCTTTAGGCTGTCACTTAATCTCTTTGAGCCTTAGTTTTTCGAAATTCCATTTATTCACAGTAATTCTCTTTCATAGAATTACTGTGATGGTTAAATATGCTATCATCTATAAAAATACGATGCCTGACACATAGTAGGAATTAATTAACATTGGCTCCTTCCTCTTTAAGTGAAACTAAAGCCAAAAAATTGTTCTCAGTGTCTTATGAGAACACGTTTCTTTTCTTTTTCTTTTTTTTTTTTTGAATTGGAGTTTTGCTCTTGTCGCCCAGGCTGGAGTGCAATGGCGTGATCTCGGCTCACTGCAATCTCTCTGCCTCCCAGGTTGAAGTGATTCTCCTGCCTCAGCCTTCTGAGTAGCTAGGATTACAGGCACCTGCCACCACACCCAATTAGTTTTTGTATTTTTAGTACAGACAGTGTTTCACCATGTTGGCCAGGGTAGCCTCAAACTCCTGAACTCAGGTGATCCACCCACCTTAGCCTTCCAAAGTGCTGGGATTACAGGTGTGAGCCACTGTACTGGGCCTTTTTT